GTTTAGCCAATCACAACACACTGGGCTAGCTAACCAATCAGAGCCCATCGCGTATTTCTGAGGGAGGGTCTTCATAAAAGGAGGAAATGATCAGCCCGTTTCTCAGAGAAGGGACAGAGCGGTTTGGAATAAAGGTAAATTATGTGAAAAAGAATGCGTTTTTAAAAAAAATGAAGCATTAACATGTTAGACTGCACCCCATAAACACAATCAAGCCTAGAAAAAACCCAGTGAACCACCCATTTAAGCTTTATTTACATTTAGAAAACTGTTTAAAACACCATTGAACTTTCAAAAACTGCCCCGCTCTAAATAAGCACATAAATCTGGGCCCATATTCACAAAACATCTTAAGTCTAAAAGTAGCTAACTAGCTGATTTAGGGGAAAATCTTAAAAATAATGGGTGTGTGAGTCCTAAATTTAGGACTCCTAAATTTTTGCTCTAAGAGTATTTCACAAAGCGTTTTAGTGCTAAAACTAGCTCCTAAATCTGTGAAACGTCAGGAGTAGTGAAGAGGACTCCTAAGTCAATAAGACCAAATCACAACTATCCTAAAATTGCTGTTGCCGGCAATCTGCCTCAGAACATAAACATTTTAGAAACATTTGACAATAATGAGCTTTTAAAAATATATCGCCTTTGGTTTTAGAGGTTATCCCAACTCGAAATTTTCCTTTTATTATATCCTCGTTTTCATTAACCAGTTGGGCAAGAAGTAACAGCTGTTCATGCGTCCAGTTTGGTTTTCTTTTACGTTTGCATGTCTTACTATCAGCCATGATTATTCTACTCTGTTAATTAAAAGGCTGACGAGAAGCACACATGTAAGAGGCTGACAATTAACATATGAACATATAAAATCTTTTTTTGAATGTGGCAATATTTTTATTTTTAAACCCAACGAGGTCAACCCCGCCCTTACTCTTAGCTTAAGACTTTTCTCAATTCCTTAGTAAAAGTTTGTCTCAGCAGCTTTCTGAATAGGTTTTAAGAGAAAACTCTTAGCTAAAAACTTTTATTGCTATTTAGGAGAACTCTTAGTGGTAAGATAAAATGTTTTGTGGATACGGGCCCTGGCCCATATGACATTAAGGATTTTGTCCAGTCAAGCCAGTAGTTCAGATTTTTGTTTGAACTGCAAACTAGTCTTCATGACAAAAGAATGTTTTTAGCTTTTAAAAATGCATTTATTTTTATTTTGAGAAATGTATTTTTACATATGCAAGAAATAAGATCTTGTGGCCACAAATGAAGAATTTCCTCCAACTACAATTAATTTGTTCCCTCGTTTTAGTTACAGTAAATCATGGAAACAAATTAGTACAACACTGACATGACTTTTCTAAAACTCACTAACTAATAAAACATGATGATTATTTAAAGTAAAACGAGGGAACACATCAATAAAAAATGGACACAAATTAAGAAATTTTGCACTGGAATTCTTAATGCATGGCCACAATATCGTTTTTTTTTTATGCATGTCATGTGGGGCTCCTTACCAATTTCCAATATTAGCATTTTCACTTAAAAACTTTGTGGATATGATATTTGAGAACTGCAGTGGAGTTATTTTGATCTAAAATTATACTTTTTTTCCATTTTGGTGTAGTTTTTGGACATTATAAATCACTCTTTACCCTTTGCCTAGACATTGTGCAAAACATCTCCTTTTTGTGTACTACAAATAAAGTCATAAATGTTCTGAACAAGATCAGGGCGAGTAAATTACGATGGAATTTTAGGGCAAAATAACCCCGTAAGCACAAGGTGATCAATTCTATTCTATTGTAATTCTAACTTCCACCTATATCTTTTCACCTCTTATCATCTTTAATGGTCCAGGTGCTGGCCTCAGGATCTACAGGAGCGAACAGTTGCCCATCCAGCAGCGGTGCATGATCCCCTACTCTGACACGTAGGCAGTCCACAGCGAGCTTGAAGCGGATGTCATCTTTGGTGGTCCCTTCAGGTAACCGCACATTCAAGGTCACATCCTCTTCTGTTTGCTGCCAGAAGTAGATGGGATCTGTGATCAGAACAATGGAAGAAGTGACACCTGATTCAAAGCAGATGTTTACGAATGAATGCATAATTAAATGACACTGATATCTGGAAGACCTGCACATGATTTGTTTGCTTAAATTAATAAACAGGTAAGAAACCCTACAGGCAAAGATTTTCTGAGTATATCCTGAACAACCATTTAAACGATAAAATAGCAATGGTAACATAAAAAGACAAGGCTGTATTTTGTAATGCATGTTCAATTCCATTGTCTTTTCTTTCTATAATATCATTCAACCATCATTGAACCATGTGTGTAATGCAAAGTATGATAAGAGAATTCTAGATCACTGTCACACTATTGCAAAAGATGACAAATTAAACCTGTACGTGCGCACCAACCTGTGTAATGTGTGGCTTTATTTAGCAATGGAAGGCCAAAGTCTGTGTGCTTTTATAGAAGCCATTTGTTGAGAACATTAGTGGAGAAAAAAGCTCTTTTTATGTGCTATTGAGTTCCAATGGTGTAGTGACTACATACTTTATCAACAAACTGGTACTGTATCTGTAAGGTTACAAGTTCAACCACTTATAAGTACAATCACTATTATGCCCTTATGGATCGTTTGGATACCATAAGGCACTTCAAATGAAATTATCAGCTAATTGACAAAATAGTAATTAGACACACTTGATGACACCTCAAGCAATTTGAGTCAATTTGATTTTCTGTTTTCCCAGAGTTACAGCTGCAAACAGAAATTAGGGTGGTCAAACCATAACCCATTACTGTGGGTAAGGTTTAGTAGATTTGTTTGGCTATAGCACCTCTGGTGGTGGTTTTAGGAATGAGGTTACGTTCATTTACAGTTATTTATAAGGTTTTAACCAGGTATGGCTGCCAGCAAATTTAGGAGGCATTCTTAGGGCAATTTGGCAAACCTTGTGTCGATAAATAAGTAATAAGTAATAAATAAATACGACAGTTTAAAAGTTTGGGGCCAGTAAGATTCAATTGGAAAGAAATTAATACTTTTATTCAACAAGTATATATTAAATTGATCAAAAGTACCAGTAATCACATTTATAACGCTACATATATATTTTTCTTTTTTTAACATTAATAAACGTTTCTAGAGCACCAAATCAGCATATTAGAATGATTTCTGAAAAATCATGTGACACTGAAGACAGAAGTAACATCTGCTGAAAATTCAGCTTTGCATCACCAGAAATAATTTGTATGTTAAAAATATATTAAAATAGAAAACAGTGATTTTGAATTGTAACAATATTTCACAATATTAATGTTTTTACTGTATTTTTGATCAAATAAATTCAGCCTTGGTGAGCAAAAGAGAATTATTTGAAAAACATTTTTAAAATAAAAATCAATAAACCAGTTGTGGCATTTTGGTACAAAAAAAGGCATCTTATTCACCAACCACTGTAATCCAGCTTTACCAGGTGTTATGCACTAGTTTTTATTTTGTTCAGTACAAACATGTCTCCTTTAAGATGTGCTTTTTATTCAGTGCAGCATTTATCAGAATTTTATTAGAAGACATGGTTGTGTACATTTTCTAAAGAGAATTCTTTGAAAAACATTTTTAAAATAAAAATCAATAAACCAGTTGTGGCATTTTGGTACAAAAAAAGGCATCTTATTCACCAACCACTGTAATCCAGCTTTACCAGGTGTTATGCACTAGTTTTTATTTTGTTCAGTACAAATGTCTCATTCAGCACATGTCTCCTTTAAGATGTGCTTTAGTCAGTGCAGCATTTATCAGAATTTTATTAGAAGACATGGTTGTGTACATTTTCTATTGATCACACTGTCATCCAAGATAATGCAGTCGAGCGCACTTAGCATTTTAAAGAGCTGATTCAGGTGTCTGGATCACAGTGATGGGAGTGATGCTGTGCAGTCTCAGTCAAGTCTGCCAGATCACGTTACCCCACCTGCAACATGGGAAATAGCATAATGCAAATTGCATTTGGCACAGATTTTTAGCCGTGCTTCCCATTTTACCTATGAATCGGGTGATAAAGCTACGAACAGAGCAAGTGCTAATATACAACACCACAAGCAAACTCAAATTCATTCTTAAAGGGGTCATATGATGCTATTTTAAAGATAATTATTTTGTGTATTTGGTATAACAGAATATGTTGACATGCTTTAATGTTCAAAAAACACATTATTTTTCAAATACTGTACATTATTGTAGGTCCTCTATGCCCCGCCTCTCTCAAACACGTAGTTTTCAACAAAGCCCCCTCCTTTGACAAGCGCAGTCTGCTCTGATTGGCCAGCTGACCCAGTGCATTGTGATTGGCCGAACACCACAAGCACGCATCGGAAATGTAACGCCCCTTACCATAATCGCGAGCTTCAGCTTTCAAAGTAAATATCAAGACAGTTAATAATGTCGTTAGTTTTACCATCAGTTCAAGCCCGAAAGGGCAACAGAGTCGCGTGACAGACACAGTGATGATGCAGTACACAAGCCGCGGTTAAGACAGCTGACGTGCTATGATTTCTGACAGGCAGTTCACTCTCCTGTGATGTGACCCTGTTCCCCACTCACACACACACACGACACGTTACTCTGCCCTGCGCAAAACTCCGCATTTGAACAGTCAATAGCAAATACTTAAACTAATAACAAAACATACTTGCAGTCGCTGATGCCAGATTGTCATAGCAAAGTCGGAATTAACCCTTTTATTTTTTTTTTTTAAATAGCGTTTGTGCACAGCCAGCCTTGTACTCTTCTAGGTGCAAAAAACTGTCGTCCATAAAATGTGTTGCACAAATTCGAACATCTGGGTTGTGCTGTTCTGTTGTAAATAAATCTTAACCAATGATTCCTAATTGCATCTACTTCCGGAAGGCCAAATAAAGTGCTTTTGCTTTCGCACTGAAACACACACCGTCTCCCTGACATGGCTGCATCAACACGACTGCTGTTCCTGAAACCACGCCTTCTTTCTTTGCGTGCACATTTGGGCGGCATTATGCTAATATTTCCACATAGTGACGTAGATATGTGGGGGCGTGTTAGAACGAGCCGTTTTAGGGGGGCGTGGCAGAGTCTTAACTTTGATAAAGAATATCTCTTTGGTTTTGAGACTTTAGTCTTTGCAACTTCAGGGATCTTATCTATGCACAATCAGCTTGTAACACTCCAAAGAGAAAGGAAAACTTGAAATCACATCATATGACCCCTTTAAAAGAGTCTCTGTATTGAAACCAGCATACAGTGTCCCGTCTCTACTGTCGCTGTCAATTAAAGTGACACAAAGGCCAAAAATAAAATAAAAACTCACACACAAGGCATGTGAGATGCATCTTGGCTTGTGTGACCTTCATTTTAGTCACTTAACCTTTCATATTCAGCTATGAATAATACAATAACGTAAGCGGTAAAAAAATGTAACTATACTTTTTTTATTTTCAATCGCAACATTAGAAAAATTCCAATGATATATGATGCATATAGCCACATAGCCCTTAAAAGGGAAAATATTGGATCCAGCTGCAGTAATTATGTGAAGGGAGTCAGAATGAGTAAGGCGTGATGTGACTACCATTGTGATCTCAGCAGAATGTTGTCATTGCCTCATTCACATTTCATGGGGATGCTGATGTGTTTAATCGTCTCTATGGTGCAACATCTGCCACCAGAGCAGGAGAATAGGGAGCGAGAGAGCGAATAGACTGCCTGCTTCTCAATCGACAGTGATGTGTGGTTAAGCGTGAGCATCTTAGTAAACAGGCGTTATGATGTCTTTGTAATGTGCCTGGTTTACCATGCCCTGAGTCATTAGCCTTGTGGAAGATTTGTGGCGCTTTATTTTTCTGTTGGCTGCCCCTCTTTGGAACTAGAGAGGCTGGCTTGCTGACTATGTCTGGCAGTGCTGGGCCTGTTAGGTCTCTCTTTGGGGTATTGATCGACACTGGGATTGTTTGACCCTGTTTACAGTCTAAGGTACACAAGCCACATCTTGGAGACCCGCAGACAGCTGAAAATGTCAGACGACGATACCAGCCCCAGCTCCTGGAGCGAGGGCATATTATTGAGTTAATCCTGCAGAGAGGAAAAATGTGACCAGCAAAAGAGAAAGGAAAACTTGAAATCGCATCATATGACCCCTTTAATGAATTCCACATAAAAGTTTGCAGCAGTTGATCTCTTAACCAAAAACGAGAGGCGGATGAGGAAATAAAGGAGCTGAGACATCCAGAGAGGTCGGACTCTCACCCACTCAGTCTTAACTATGCTGGCAAAACCTTATTAGTGAAATTGGAACAATTTTCTCAAGCCATAAAGCTGCTTTAGAGTGCAATGAGGAGTGAGAGCAGCACACTCATTATCTTCTTTTGTTGCAGGTCTAGTCAACTTGCAGCCCAAGCGGAATCTTGCTGAGCAAAACAGGATAATGAAGAGAAGGGCAATGATGTTCCGTGACACTGCTAAATCACTCTGACTGTGTGTACATCATGGAAAACAGGATTTGGCATTTGATATACTGATATGGTATGGATATGAATATGGTATATTACTATGGTATACTATCCATATATGATATGGATTTGATATACTATGTAGACAAGATGCAATACTTCCTCCAAAGCCCACCCAGACCATTCTTGGAAATTAAAGATACATTTTTTTTTTTTGAAATATTCATGGTTGTGACGTCACAGCCAGGGGCATGTGTACACCCACATTAACATTTCAGTACTTAGCAGGTTCTTTTGTGCTTATGATCTATAATGTAACCAACAATATCAGTAGATCTGCAAAGAGGTCATTCACTCACAACACCGCACGCATTATGATAGACCTATAGAAAAAAATATTTGACTCTTTTTCTTTTCTAAGAATGGCTTAACTTGAAGTGCTGTAAAAAAAATTAAAAAAATTGGGAAAGAAAAATATAATTTTAAGGTACTTTATGATATGTTGCCATACGGTAACAGCATACAATAGTGGCTCTAACTTAGAATAAGTGTAAGTTTACTTATAGTTCATATTTTTCCTCAGAAATGTTGTTTGTGTTGATTCAATTGGTGCTATTATAAGCTTTAACACAGTACTTACAATTGACACCTTATACATACCTTCCAAAAACGTGTGCTTTTATTTATTCCATTCTTTCTTGCTGAATAATGATGTATATTTCATGAATATTATTTAAATTGCTAATTTATACATTTAAAACAAATATAATACTGTATATCATGTATCATAAAACATTGACATAAAACCAAAAACATTGCAGTTCATGAAAATTCAGCATTGATGTAATGTTACCTGTATTCATATTTAATCAAAAGTAAAATTGCCATTTCAATTTGATTATATCCATAATACAAATGCCATTAACATATGACTAATCAACATTATATCACTAGTATTAAGGTTGTTATTGTTACAGCTTAACAGATTGCAGATGACCTTGCTAGCTAGCTAAACTATTGTAATAATGTCATTCCACTATTGCAGTGTTGCCGCTTGGCAACACATACATTTGAACGATTTACCAAAAACTAATTTCATAAAAACTTTTTTGAGAGGTGAATATGTCATCATAACAGTGATGTTTCCGATTTTTTTGTGGAAGTGACATTTGCTGGTCCTTGTTTGTTACTGACGTTTTAGTTTGCTTTCACCAACTACCGACAAGAAATCTCGCCACAGAAAAAAACTGCATGTCATGCGACTTAACCAAAGCACATCATTGGCTAAACTAAGGTCTTCTCTTTCCAACAAAAAAAACGAGAATGTTCTCTTTAAGAGACAGTGGCAAGGAAATTAATACAAAGAGTATGTTGCCATATGGCTACACCATGCGGTAGAGGGT